CTCTCCCTCCCCCCCTTCTCCCACATCCGCCCCTTTTCCCTCTCTCTCCCCCCGACTCTCCCAGTTTAGCCAGCATGTCCCTTTCTCTTTGTTCCTGTCTCCGTTTCGGGGGCGTGTCGCGGCATGGCCAAGGGAGTCCAAGGTTTAGTCAGTGATGCATTTTAATGTGACACTCGACACGCTCCGGCGGACATGACTTTGCCGTCATGCCGGAGAATGAAATTGTTATATCACAACGCTTTAAGAGACTGGCGAGGTGTTGAAGTCGGGCACACTGTAACTGTACAACTTGACGATATCAACTTAAATCCTAAAGTCCAAGAGCTTAAACTGCAAAATCAAAGTCCATCAAGTTATCTAGTTTCCAGTTTAAACTTTGAAACCAGACCGTTTACACTGATAAATTAAGTGTGCAACTGCTTAACACTTTGTGCAACAGCAAGTTGAATAGTTGGAAGTGTTAAACTCGGTAAGGTATGTGCACTTGCAAGTGTGTTACTTCTCTGTTGAGCACTTCCTCAGATTGGCTTCTTGTAGGGGTGCTCTACTCAAGAGTTACCCACTTGCGAGTGTAGCTACGAAGCTGAACACTTTTCAACTTGCTGTTGCAAACTTACAAGTGTTCAGCAGTTGCACACTTAATTTTTCAGTGTTTGTTGTTCACGGTAAAAATTACATCTTGGATTTCAAGCAATCTGCTAGGTTTTCAAGACAGTTTTCAAGGAAACTGCTTGAATTCTAAAATGGCCATTTTCCGAGTTGTTTTTGACTTTTGATGTTTATACTATGAAATATTTTGATTTTCAAGTTTTAATTTGCTTAAACTGTCATCATGTTAAAACATTCTGATTTTCAAAGCTGGGCGTTCCTCTTTGCACTGCGGTGTCGCAAAGAGTTTTTTAATTGGTTCTTGAATGTCACACACAGTCATTTGTGGGACGTCTAAAGCCTCTCTTGCGTCGCTCCTCCCCCTCCCCTGCTGCCGCGCGGCCCGGGCCGAGCCCAACCCGACCACATGTTGCAATATATGCGACACGACGTGGCAGGAAGTCACCTCACTGGCGGACGACGTGTCGTGCCCGCGTGCCGGTTGTCACGTCCCGCGGGGTGTCCCGGGTGCGTCCCGGAGGGGTTGTTACGGTGTCGGGGGGTATCGGCTCAGAGGGGCGGGGTGGTTCGAAGGTTTTCGAGGGGTATCACAGGCTCAGAGAAGTGCGGTCGGTCGCAATGTTGCAAATTTCGTCTATGCTGGCGTGTTGTGTGAGAGACCATAAAGGGTGCTCTATACTTCCGACTGCCCCCCCCCCCCTTCCCCTCTCATTATTTTCGGCCAACTGAAAGCACTTTTGCTCTTTTATCGCGGTGCATTGATTAAGTGGCAGGTGGCAGGTGACACAACATAAGCTTCACTGCATGACATCTTGAACCTCTCAAACTACAAGTGTTTATGAATATTTTGTCGCACATCCAGGAGTTCAAATCTTTTCACTCGTCTGCAGGTGAGCGACACTCGTACACTTTGATTTTTAGTGCACTTGCTTTCGATAAGTCTCAAACACAAAGAGTGTACCACGAAAGGGTGCGTGTGTAATATGTAACAAATTACAGTCCCCACATAAAGTTGACAAAGCCGTATCACTACCCCCTTCCCGCCGTCTCCAAAACCCTGTTGCTGCAGTTGTCTTCCTGGAGAGAACGGAACGGGTGTCGTATCCGCGGCCGGCTCCGCTCCAAGACGAGACGCGCTACCGGTGCGGAGGTTGGGACTCGCTCACTCCCCCTGCTGGAGCTGGAGCGCGCGTGCGCCCAGTCACGTCGTCCGCGGCGCTGCTTCTTACCTGGGCCGGCGGGCCGCCCTGCAGCACCCGTTCAAAACTGGGCTGTAAAGTATAGGGTGGCGGGCCGGCCGCTTACCGGCCGCCCTATAAGAACGGTCTTTTCGGTTATCTCATCTTTACGGGAAGGATTTTCCCTTGGCCTTTTTTTCGCGCCCTGACGTGCCTGCTGTGCTGACCTGCGCACGCTCACCCGCATCTGCTGTTGGATGTTTTTCGGAAGCCCGTTTCCGCCAGTTTTAACGTAAAGTTTTGAAGACTTTGGCGCCTTATAATTAAAGGCTTGCATGAGCTGCAGGGATACGGCCAGGCAGTTCGAAGCAGACGGGCGGGATGCTGTCACGGTGGTAAATTGTGTCAGTATTTTCTTTTCCAGGAAAGCGCACCACCAACGGGCCTACAGCGCGCCACACAAACCAAAAATATTCACCAAGATGTTTTCTGTACGAAACGAAGACCTGACCTTGAGGCCAAAAGGAGCCCTACACCTGGCTGAACAGAACTAGAGCAACAATACGTTTGGCGGAAGATAAAAGCAGCGTGTTATATTTTTCGCCGTGTTTTTGCGGTTGGTTGGGCCACGCCAGCAGGACAGGAGGGGCCGCGCAGCAGGCAACCGCTGGTCGCGTAAGCTCATGTCCGAAATCACTGGCGGGCTCTTATGAAAGTGTGCCGGTGTCATCGGTCAATTACCATACCCTACTACGCTGGACGGGACGCGGCTGCGGCTCACGCGGGGTAGGGCCGGCGCTGGTCGGGGTAGCTCCGCGGCGGTACCTCTGGAGACGGGCGTATCGGCGTTGGGGAGTATTGCCGCATGCTGGTGGTGCCTCCCACCAAACGTAAGGTTTGCCTTCTCCTGACGGCTCGGCGTATCCGCAAATTGGAGACGAGTTTGGAGAAGTCTTTGACTTCATCAGGCAGAGTTTCATTTCATGAACCTCGTGTCAGGGCTACGACATAGCATTATGCACGCTGAAAACAAGGTCTCGTACTTTGAGGGTGGTAAACTTTGCGGGGCGTTTTTTAGTATAGGAGAATTCCTACAATTCTTAGCGACTCTCCGACAAAATTTTGGAAAATTCCCCTATTTTTTATTTTTTTTTGGTAGCGGAGGAGCTTTTCTTAAATTCTCGAAATTCCTCAAAGTTTTTCATTTTTTTTTAAATCAAAAATTCAAACATTATTTTTACCGTGTGTGGTTTGGTTCTGTGGTTTGGTACTCACTTACTTACACGGTAGCACTGGTAAAAAGATATTTTCTGCTGAAGCAAACCAAGGTTTGCAGGACTAATATTTTTGCATTCAGCTCAAAATTCCGTTTCGAACGAGCCTACATGATGTGATGTGTGTCTGAAGAACGGTGAAAGAAGTAACTGACCCTCAGTAATCTACTAAATTTCTTTTATTTGGGATTTGAACCCTATCACATGTCGGCTTGATCGAAGCGGAATTTTTAGCTGAATACGAAAACATAAGTTTTACAAACCTTGGTTCGCTTCATCAGAAAATGTTCGGGAAAAACTAAAACGTTAACGCCTTTTGACTTGAACGCCCACCTGGAAAGGTGTTAATTCACACCTTTGTTTTACCAGTGAGTACGTGAGACATTCTGAGTAGTAAGGTGTATCACTTCGACCAGCCACAGTGCAGGGCCTGGACTAAACAATTTTCCAGTCGTTTCCCAGTCACCAGTCAGTCTCGAAATTGGGGCAAAACAACTCCAGAAGCTCCAGACCAGTCACTGTTTTAGTTGTGGTGGCTCGGCTCCAGTTCCCATTATGCCCTTTGGAAGAGGCCAGTCACTTATCTAGTCATGACCAGTCATTATCAAATTATTTTTCAGAACCACCTAGTCCAATTTGACTTCAAGTCAGAGTACACCCATTTCTGATGGGATGTACCCATCGATCTGTCTGCGCATTAATTTTTTGTGAGCTAATATTGTTTTTGTTTGTTTCATTGCAGGTTTGTGGCAGCTCCAGTCCCCATTATGCCCTTTGGAAGAGGCCAGTTAAGAGTAATGTAATTAACATTTTTTTTTAAATCAATTTATTTACAATTACCACTATAAGAGCGAAATAAATAACACTGGCATTTCTACTTTCTAAACTTATGCTATTAGGTCAATGTCATGCATAGATAGTAAACTTTTACCACATTAACAGGTGTTGTATTGAAGAATCTTGACATATTGCAAATAAATATACGTAGAAAAGGGGATAAAGGGATAAAGTTAACTTTATCACCGCACAGCATCTTATGTTACGCAGTGGAGTCAGGTTATAGCCGTCAGTCTCTTAGTTTGTTAAAATTTTTGGAGCAAATTCGATCTATGGCTTTTTGTGAGAGATATCACTCAATTGTTGGCACATGTGTTTGATTATACCGATGCGGTATGAGTGTTTCTTTTGAAGAAGACGTGGGAGATTTCTTTTTGTGCATTGAGCTTATGTTAACCGCCGAGGCGGTGTGAAATAGTCCGTTTACCTTTTCCTTACATTCCAACCGTGACTAGCATCGGGGTAAATTGCATGAAGGGTGGAGGAAAATTCGACCACGACCCGCCACCCGACTTGTATCATGGCATGTGGCCCATAATCCGCAAAACAGGAAGATACAGCGTATCCTTCTCATCTACGTCACTTTGATGCCCCAGTCCTCCTTGATCAGGTCGGCCGCCTTCTCCCCGATCATGATGACGGGCGCGTTGGGGTTGCCGGACACGATCTGGGGCATGATGGAGGCGTCCACGACGCGCAGCCGCTGCACGCCGTACACGCGGAGGCGCGGGTCCACCACGGCGTCCGGGTCGGACAGCGGCCCCATCTTGCAGGTGCCGGTCGGGTGGTAGATGGTGAAGGTGAAGTGCCGGATGGCGCACTCCCAGTACGCGTCCGTGTCGAAGGTGTGCTGGCGACAGCCGGGCATCGGCGTGGTGAGCGGCCGGGACCCGAAGCGCTGGAAGGCGGACGAGTTGGACACGGCGTTGGCGATGCGGATGCCCTCGACCAGCACTTGGATGTCCTCGCGGTGCGCGAAGTAGTTGGGCTCGATGAGCGGGTAGTGCAGCGGGTTGCGGCTCTTGAGGCGCACCCAGCCCGAGCTCTTGGGCCTCAGCAGCAGCGGCAGGATGGTCCACGTCTCTGCGTTCACCAGCGGCTTGTACATGGTGTTGTACACGCGGTCCCGGAGCCCTGCCGAGGAAATTCAGATTTTAAATATCTCAAATTGTGTGAGGTAGGTTAATTTAAGTATTTTAGCCTTTTTTCTCCCAAATTAGGCACCAAGTCCCAAAACAGGATGTATGCAAACTTAATGCATGACAGTCAGTATGCAGCGTTCACAGCGGGGTTGATCTGTAACTCACCGAGAATTTTGCGAATTTGCTCGCCACCGTCCGAGTTGATGGAGCTGGGCGCAAAGTGAAACTGGATATCGGGAAAGTCGATGGACTTGTTGGCGTACTTGGAGTTGACGAAGGCGAGACCTTCGACGCCGCTCGTCGTGAGCGGCCCCCGCTCGTTGAAGATGTACTCGAGGCCGACGCCCACCGTCTGGAAGCGCGACTTCTTTAAAGTGACGGGCTCGTCGATGATGTACGTGAGCCCGCCGAGGCCGACGTGGTCCTGGAGGTTGTGGCCCACCTTCAGGTCGGACACGACGGGGATGCCGAGCTCCTGAAGGTGCGCGCGCGGGCCCACCCCGGACACCATAAGGAGCTGCGGCGACGCTATGGCCCCCGCAGAGAGGATGACCTGCGGACAAGTCATGCGTCAGCCAGAAGACGGGTTGGAAAAAGTATGCGATAGGAACCCATAATGTTCAAAGGTAGTCTCGGTATGGTATCCTTAGTTTAGGGTTTAGCCATAGCATTGCACCGAGAAAAAAGCGTCTAGTTGAGGCCGGTTGAGTTTTGCTTGTAGGCTGCAAAGAGGTTGTCTCTCACCTCTCTGCGGACGCGGACCACCTGCTTGCGGTTGCCCCTGACGAACTGCACGCCGTACGCGAAGGGGATGGCGCCCTTGCCCCCGGGGTCGATGAGCACCTTGAGGACCTGGGCCTTGAGGGCGACGTGCAGGTTGTTGCGCAGGCGCACCGGGCGCAGGAAGGCCTTGGCCGTGGAGCAGCGCGACCCGCGCCGCACCGTCAGCTGCGTCAGCATGAAGCCGGACTGCTTGGCGCCGTTGATGTCCCGATTGGGGTACCTGTAGGGGCCACGAAGAAGGCGGCGTGAGCAACAATGACATCTGGATTACTCAACTGACATTTGACAATCCACTTGTACGCCGTCTCTCATACTTGCTCGTGTGAGACTTAAAATTTGAATGCTTGCAAGTATTAGGCTAGAATGACGAACGCCTTTAAGGCAGAGGCTTGGGTCAAACTGGAAAAAATCGGACGAAAACAGATTTTGAGTTTAGATTTTCTGTGCTAAGTAAATCAAGAAAAGCTTTCTATGCCAATTTAAGTAAGTCGTTTGCGGTTCTTCTAAGGATTATACACCTTGGACGTAACCCTTTTAACCATTTTTTTTTTAAGTTATGAAATTTTAAAATACTTCCTGCTAACAGGGTTACGTCTACAGGCGTATTAAACCTTAAAAGAACCTTACCGAACTAGCAGATTGAAACAGAGAGCTTTCCCTTGATTTAATTAGCATATAGATTTTAAACTTAAAATCAATATCTTTCGCCCGACTTTTCCAGTTTCACTCAAACCTCTTATGAGTATGCACACGTCCGTGGTCATAAATCCAGTGCAAACCCTGCAGGTATGCGTCACTTCAATGTCGCTTGTGCACCTGAGGAGATGGCCTCGACGGCGTGGTAGGATGCTGCTTGGACCACTCACCCCAGCTCGACGCCGGCCTGCACGAAGGCGAGCGAGAGCGGCGTGCGCCAGGGCGCCTCCTGCACCGTCAGGTAGCCGCCCGTGGAGTGGTAGGGCGTGCGCGCCAGGTACGGGTTGCGGTTGTCCTCGCTCTTCTTGAAGTAGGGCAGCACGCTGTCGTAGCCCCAGCCCGGGTTGCCCAGCTGCTCCCAGTTGTCGTAGTCGTGGCGGTTGCCGCGCACGTAGACCATGGCGTTGAGCACGGAGGAGCCGCCCAGCACCTTGCCGCGCGGCCAGTTGCAGCGGTCTCCATTCATCGCCAGGCAGTACGCTGCGTCACCGCCTGATAGGAGCAGAGTAACCAATTGACAAAAAGTCCCACCACTGCTTAACGGTAACACCGACTTAATACTTTGCCATCAAATGCCGTTGTTGTCACATCGGGATCAGGAATAAGTCTCCCGCGTCCCGCGTGACCATTCATCTATCAATCTGCACTGTAAATTGCTTGCTCGCTATTTTCATTGCAACGTTGCGAAGAATTTTCGATCTTTGTAATTTGCAAAGATCCTTGCAAACTTTGTGTTCGCATTGCAAAGAAATAATTTGCAAGCTTGTTAACACGTTGTGTCCCACATGACCGCACGAGTGGCCACAATAGCATGTTAACTAAACTAATTCATCGCATTACAGATTACAGTACCTTAAAATTCTTTGTTAAGCTACCAAGGAATCCGATTGCAATGCAAACTTATTCTTTGCAACCATCGGGGCTTCGTCCCGTTTTCCTGTTCCTGCCAAAATATTGGTCCCCTGGAAAAATGTGATAAAAATCTGGTGGGGGATGTTTATTTTGGGGACACCTACCGTGTGTGTATGTGTGCCGCGGCCCGATAGTCTTGCCAACAGAGTTGCCCGTTCGTGTGACAATTTAATGGCTCACTTGCGGCCCCATTTCTTGCCTCCCGGCCGTCAAACGCCATGTAATGGCGCAAAAACTGCGCCGTGGCCCGACACGCGATGTTTGCCCCGATGCTTAGCGGCTCCTTGTCGAGCGGTGCTGCTGCTGCCGCTGCCGCCTCTGCCACCTGCGCCCTATTCGTCTCTTTACGATTGATCGTGTGTCTATGAAGTTCCAATTGACACGGTGGGGCGGCTCGTTATACGGCGCGACGTAACACGGCCAGCCGTCGGCCACCACGACTTGAGGATGTGTAGGCTTCCGGTCGAAAAATGGGTGAGAGTGGAAGGAGAGTGTGAAGAGGGAAGCGCCGCCGGTAGACTCTGCCCCGCCTCGTCCCGCCCCGCCCCTGCTTGCCCTGCCCCAGCTTCCGGTTTGATCCCTTCCGTGTAAACTTGGCTCTCAGGGCCCCGGGCATTGTCTTGCGAATCAATGAAAGTTATGCCAATTATGTATACTCTGCTCCTCTCCGGCGGATCGTCTCGTCTCCCTCAATTGGCCTGTCTGAACTAATCCTTCCGAATCTTTCCCTCCGGTCCGGGTGCCTTTTTTCTCTTCCTTTCCCCCTCTTTCGCTTCTGCCCAAATTGTCACACTTGAATGCTTTCTCCGGGCTGCTGATGTGGTAATAACTGCCTCACGAAACTTGTTGGACGCCGGAGTTTGCCATCACCCTTAATTTTGACATGTTTCTGCTGTCAAGTTATCATCGATGAATGAATGTTTTGTGTTTGGTTGAGCGTTTATTGCCATTATGTAGTTTGCTCAGCATTCTTTTTATAAAATTGCCACGAACTTTTGACTAACATTACTAAATTTACTGAAACTTGCCTTTTTTTTTATTTAAACGAGAACTTTCAAGATGCGTGCGCATGTGCAACCTCTAAATTCAATCTGAAAAATTTTCCCCACATTCTGGCGGACAATGAGGTGAAACATTATCTCAAGCAGCCCCCACAAGGTTCCCAACACATTCGGCAGCAAATGGCACAAAATTTTCGTTGGTAAAAGCTGCTCCGCGATCAGCGCTGTGCCGTGTTGCTTCTCCTGAACTCCTGCCCTAACAGTGACGGCGCGTGGCTACCACGCCTGGCTCGTGCACTATGCAAGTCATTCCCCGGTCATCGATTTGGTTTGGAGTGTGCCCGCGCCGTGCCGCGCCGCGCAGCCGCGCACTTACTGCAGTCGGAATGCCGGGCTCTTTCCCGTTGCGTCACTACCGGCCTGACCGAGGGCTGCCGGCGGGCCGGCGTGGTGCATGGCTCAGGGTGGACATCTACTCGCTTGCGTTAAAAGTTATATGAAAGTCACATCTAAACCCGACAGGGATAGGGCAAATTACTTTTAATTTCTGCCCTATGGTTCTTAAATTTGCGTCTTTAGTCAATAAAAAAAAAGTTTTCTCTCAACGTAGAGGTTTTTAAAACCACCCCTGTCATGTCAAAATGAATGCAGAGTAGGGTTATAAAAACGTTCGAGCAAAAAGAGTATAAAAAGTGTTCCAGCAGTTTTCAAACGCACTATTACATACAACCATGGTTGCCACAACTCTGGAAAACCTTGAAAACCTGGAAAACTCAGGGAAATAAAAAACTGTCAGGGAAATCAGGGAAAACTCAGGGAAAATGAAAAAAAGTCAGGGAAATTTGGTCTGACTGGTCCCCAAACTGCAGTCAATTGGCCGTTTAGGTCAAATACACATTTTGACGTCCCAGTAGGGTGTTTTGTCCCAAAATTTTTCGCGCTCGCTTCGCTTGCGGTCTTTGTATTACAGTTAGGGGTATTATTTTGCCCCAGTACTTCACCAGGAACGGTGCTTAAAACTCAGGGAAATTCAGGGAGAAATGGTCTGGAAATCAGGGAAAACTCAGGGAAAATGGAAATGAAAATTTTGTGGCAACCATGACAACCCCTAAATCAAAAAAAATAAGTAAATAACATAAAACGATGACCGCTCCGCTGGACCCTACTGTACGTGGTTAGCACAAGTATTCAACCCACCTGGCGGGGACGTCTTGTACTGCCAGTCCAGGTCGGAGAGCTGCAGGTAGCCGGCCAGGGAAGGTACGTCCGAGATCTCCGTCTCGTCACCGCCGGCCTCGAGCAGGAGCACGTTCCAGTCGGACACCTCGGACAGCCTGTTGGCCAGGACCGCGCCGGCCGAACCGCCGCCCACGATGACGAAGTCGTAGACGGGCAGCACCTGGAGGGAGCGAGGACAGCCAACAGTTTAAAGGAGAATGCTTTTCAAGCGTGATCTCGTATGCGACATACCAAATACTGTCTTTAAAAAAAATAACATGCATTCTGTAACAAGATTTGACTTAATTTCACAGCACACGGCCACGATGAAAGTTTGTACGCAATTGTTCGTGTGTGATCCGTGTTTGGTATGCCACCCGAGTGTCCCGTAGACCGCGCAGGCGTGCGGTTCGGCTTGTATACCGTCTCAAAGCAAAACAAATATTTTTTGGGAAAATGCCGTATGGGACACCCTGTAAGCCCTGTATTGACCCTAGTGTGCTGTGCAACTCTGTCATTCTCGGAGGTTTTATGTTAAAACGAATCTCGTTACAAATTTGGTTTTATCGAGATGCGACAGGTACATTTCATTGCTCATATGTAGAGTTGCTGAGTCCCCCTCAGTAGGTCGACAATGCTCGCACTGCAACTAGGCAGAAGCCAGTAGAACGAAAGCGAGGTGGGTGATGCAATGCACTGCGTGCCTACGCCGTCTCTGTTGCTCTCATTGCCTTTGTAATGAACGTTAGAGAGAGAAGCGCAGACAACGCTACACAAACACTTCCTTCTCTCTAAAAAAAAATGGGAGTCGGTGCGTCTTGCAAAAGGAAGGAAGGTGGGAAAAAATTGAAATGGGTCGTGGGCGGTTGTTTCTGTTATAACGTGCTTGACTTGATTTCATTTTAAACCGTCGGGCTGTTGACCTCCGATTTCATCAGTGGTACCCTGTGTTTGTACGTGCATGCCATACACATCATTCAGAAAATCAGCCAGGGTGCTTATAGCTTCTTTTATAGTCTGAGTCATGTCACTGCGATTGCTCTACCCAGTGAAATTTTGATACTTGACCTATGTGCCCCATGGTTCAATGTGCCCCACTCTCCCTTACTTCATTTTCTTGAGTGTGTTATTACCTCTGTCATGCCTACCGGCTGCACTGGCCAAGGGCATGCGACCGTTCAGGTGTTTTGTAGCCTTCCTGTTAAAGAGGTCAAGTAGCAAGTCAGAGCAGTGAATTTCTGATGAAGACGGTTTTTTATTCGTTTTAGGATGTCCTTGGTCTGCTTTGACGCACATATAGCAGTACACGTTTGCAGCAGGTTTCACTTTATAGCCCACGGTGAAATATTCCCCGCAAGCTTTTATTAGCGTCGAGCTTCGATTCCCAAATCTTTCGCTCACTCACCTCTCTGATGTCGATAGGCCTGGACTCGGGGTCGACAGCGGTGTACCTCATGAAGACCATTCCGACTGCGATGAGTGGGACAAGCCCTAGGGCCATGGATGCCCCCCCGCTCCCGAGGAGGGGCAGGGCGGGCAGCGCGGGGGCCATTCCTGCAAAGCATTTGAGGAAGAGTGACTCTGTCAAGAAGTGTACACGCTGTCGAATCCCTGCAGAACAAATGTTTTGCATTTTCTTTCTCTCGTTTTCTTTAGTTTTCGTAAAGGAGTGTAACACTACTGCTTCACACTTGAAAGTGTCCAACTGCGAATTGGAAACTTGCAGTAGTACACTTTTAAGTGATCAACTCGGTAGTTGTGCACTTATAAATGTTCAACTCCTCTGTTCAACAGTTCACGCATTATGCGTCTAATCCGGCGCAGACAAAGAAAGTGCTCAGCAGAGGAGTTGCACACATTACAAGTGCCTAACTACACACAGAAAAACCGTTTCTTGTTTCAAGTAATTTTTTCCTTGTTTCACGTGCACGCTGACACAAGATCAAATTTACTCTTGAAACAAGCTGATATTTTATTTTGAATAAGAGAGAAATCTTATTCCAAAGACAAAATTGCCTTCTCTAAATGGTGACTTTCATCTTGTGTCAGCTTGCACTTGAATAAATTGATTAAGAAACTATCGTTCTGGGTGTACCGAGTTCAACACTTATGTGCACAGCAACGGAGTTAAGTCGTGGACTCACCCCCACCGTCTTCGCGTACTATCTATGATTTTCTGGTGATGGGTATCTCCGTTTGAGCCTTCCGGACATCCTCGTTCGCATTCTGAAAAACAAAAACAAAAAAAATGACAGGGAAACAATGGGAAATAATAAGGGCTCATGTACGACGTTGCACTTCTGCGCGCTCGCCCCGAGCTTTGCTCGTGTCTTGCGCACTGCTGGCTCCTGTTGTATTTTTATACAGGTGCAGCGTGGCGTGGACCCTTCCGGCAGACTGTCGCGTGCGTCCCCATCCCCTCCCCTCCTCCACTGTAATGCCTACTGTAATGCATCGCCGCTGCAACCCGCCAAAGGCAAGGACCACTCATAAGCTACCCACTATGGACACGCTTTATCGTACAGAAACAGTTACCATTTCTTCAGTGGGTGATTTCGGGATGCAAACTCACTGAGTCCTTATCTTTATCGTAAGCGGCCAGCACAGGCTTAACTATTATGGTGTACAGCCAATTTTTTAAACTTTCAAATCATCTAGTTGTGAAATAATTATTCCAAGGAAATGACACTGGAGAGACAAGGTATCTCGCTATCGTGCCCCCAATTATATTACTCCTGGGATAAATATTGAATGATATCGCTTCTTTAGAGTCATTCGCTATGGGATCGTCCAGAAAGTACGTCCGTTTCTCTCAAAATCATCCTGCAAATTACAGAAACTATGCACCTGCAAATCTCGGGGTAGGCCACCCCGCAATACACGCATGCACTGCATGCAAGATTGTGCCTACCCATCAGGCGCTATGAGAGCTTGCATTGCCTTAATTTGGAGGGTTCGTAACGGCGAATGACGGACGTACTGTCTGGATGATCCCTATGGGCGCTCCCAGGACTCTTCAAGAGACATCTTGGCCTAGATGACACTAATTCAAGGATGTTTTCTGATACGCAGATGCAGTAAATTGCAATCTTATTGAGCGATGCAGGAATCATGTCGCCCTATGTAGGCAATGTAAACACACGGCTGGAAATTCAAAGGTAGGACTCCAAGGGTTTTGATGTTTTTACAAAAGCATTAACAATTGGCACCCGTGCTAAGGCATTAAAACTGCCCAAAGGTGTTAAAATTTAATGCATTTGGACACTTACGTGCCTTTGCAAAGGCATTAAAATTTTTCCACCCCTAGTAAGGCATGAATCCCTAGCATATGTTTTTCTAGTGGCGTTTCATGCTTGTAACGCCCCATTACTTGCTCGGGCCTCCCGTTGTCGTCCTGACGATGAGCACACGGCGCCGGCGCCCTCCCCCGCACTTGACCCAGTTTCGGTGACGCGGGGCCGCGTACGCGTCGCGCTGTGTTGTGCACGGTCGGTCGGCACGGCGGCGACCACCACGGAGGCGTGTAGCAACACGGGCGAGGCGGCCGAGTGCGGCGGCGGGGCGCCCGGCGTGCAGCCTTGCCAGCCGGTTCCGTGCCGTGCACGCAGTGCATCGATCTAAGATCCCTTCCTCCCCCCTCCCCCGTTTTTCTTTCTCACACCCTCTCTACCCCTCCTATCTACCTCATCCGCATAGTTTTGCTTGCCTTTTCATACTGATACACCACTCTCATCCCTTACTGACTTTTTTACGACAGGGTTGCCACGCGTCAGGATAATCATGATAATCAGGATTTTGTCAGGATTTTCAAAAGTTGTCAGGATAATCAGGATAATGTCAGGATTTTGTGGTAAAAGTGTCAGGATAAATGGATTGTACCGGTTATCGCCCTGATGCTCGGCGCTACTTCGGCTAGAGGCGTGGCGCTGTGGTAGTGCGCCACTCTGATACATTTTTCCTAAAAGAAATACACAATTTTTTTCTTACCCCCTGAAAAATAGCGCTATTTTGCTGTATTTTGCTGTCAACTTGTTCTGAAAATGTCAGGATAAAGTCACTTTTTCGTCAGGATTTGGTCAGGAAAATGTCAGGATCTTCGGAAACTGGGACTTCGTGGCAACCCTGTACGAGGTTTGACTAAAGCAGTATTTTGTCAGTAATACCAATTATGACAAATTTAATAGTTTTATTATTACATCTTTATCAAAACTATACGGAATCGGAATAGTTGACAAATTAATTACTGACCCCTGTGATTTCTGTTGTAGAGAATTCTAACTGACATCCAAATCAGTACAGATGTAGATGTAGCATAGAGTGCATCTATAACGAGTACTACAAGTGCTACACCAAGTGCGTAACTGCTTAACACTCTTCAGTGCTTTATTGTGCACTGAAAAAAGTCGAATACTTGCCAGTGTCCAACTGACGTCGCTGACACTTGCAAGTGATTAACTCGGTTGCTACACTGTATATCAGAGTGTGATACCGACTTCACATTTTCTGTGATACAGAAATATTGCTCGATGTTGTGATGATCATCGCAGGAAAAGTACAACATTAAATTCATTGCTTATATTTGTGATGACCATCACTCATTTGAGCAATACTTTTATGTATCACAGTTTTGTGCGATGTGCATCCACACCGTTTTGTAGGAAATCCGGAATCATCGCATTATTTTGCAATAGGCATCACACAAAATTTGTGATAAAAATTTATTACTTCCCCAGGAGTGATAAATCGTGGGAATCACACGGGGCGTTTTATCACACGAAAATGTGTGAAAAGTATCACACTTCAAATTATAGTGTATGCACATGTAAGTGTGCAACTCCACTTTCCATAAGTTATCTGGCAAGGAAGTGTTCAGCAAAGGAGTTGCATGCAGTTGCAGTTCTTCGGTTTGTGACCACCTAAATCTGTAAATATTTAGGGCTTTTCATTTTCGCTAGACTCAAGTCTGTTCGGTTAGCAATAATTTATTCAATTCTTGAAAAATGGTTAAATTGGTGTAGTGAACGGAGTAAATATGACAACCATCACTGTAAAAATAGTTGAAGTTATTAAGGAAAAATTTTCTATGAAGAGTGTCGTAAAATAACAATCCAAAATTGTAAAATTTCTAGCACTATGCATATGCATCGACTTGGGATGCATCGACGAGCAAGATTGGGGTGTCATAAATTTACAACATATTCTTTAAATAATAGTTTTTAAATATTAATTGTAAAGTATTTCGTAAATCTACGACGATATTTTTCACAGTGGTAGTACGTGAGGGAGGGTAGGGGGCGCTAATGAATGCATGCACTTAAGTTTTTCCTTCCCCTTTCCCCTTTCCTGCTGGGACTGGACGCTGCAGCACACGTGTGAATTTTGCAAATTATTGCACCGACTTGGCTTTGCGTTGGCTTTGCGTTCCCTGCCGCTACTGGCCACGAGTGGCTTGGGCCGCGGAGCCGAACCGGATCAGTTAGTTTGGTTCAGTCGTACTTGGCCGTGATGAGGTCCGCATCACATAACACTTTCCCCGTGGGCCGTTGCGTGGTGTGATGGCGCGTGTGTGTGTGTGTATGTGTGAGTGTGTTTGTGCACGTGTTTGTGTGCGTGTGTGAGCGCGTGCTAGTGCCGACGGGAGCGGCGCGACTGGCGATCCATACATAATATGGCGATGCGCTGCGTTAAGTCATACGGAACAGGGAGGCGGTTGGCGGAAGGAAATGTTTGTGTGGCATGTGTCAGTCACACTACATCATATAGGTTCTCTCGGAAGTGCGAAGAAGTCTCTTTTTGATATTCTTTCGCTGCAAGGAAAATCAAGTTTAAGGCACACTGTTTAATCAGTGGCAAGCACTGTGCTAAGGCTAAGTACTGGAAAAACAAGGTACAACAGTTCGGGTTTTTATATGCCTTTACAAAGGCATTAAAACTTAGAAAGCCTGGAAAGGCATCAACTACTCGAAAGGTGTTAAATCTAATGCCTTACGGCATTTTTGTGCCTTTGCAAATGCAATAAATGTTAAAACCCCTTGCAACGGCATGTTTTGTTTTTTTCTTGTTTACTGTTGGATTTTCAGTGCACTGCGCATCCTTGATTTCCATGGATCTGGTTAAAATATCGTTTTGACATACTTTTAATGATCCAATTGATTTTGTTTGGTGCGTATTTAAAAAAATAATATGGTTGCATTTTGGATATGACAGTGCATTTGGGTAGTTCCCTCTCGTGCTCTCTCCGCCACACACACAATCTCAGCTTTGCCACTGGGCAGCCTGGCGGTCTGTGAACTTTGCTAGCCACACCGCTGTGTGCCGTGCACACGTTTGCACCTTTCAAACGAACGCAGAGGCGCCCCCCGCCCCCTTTCCTGCACACATACACGCCAACAATTCTTATATTTTTTATGTCTTTGCAACCAACCAACCAACCTGACTTTCGAGTGTGTGTCTGCGTCTGTGTGAGGCAGGCTCAGATATGGGGTTGTTAGGGCTTTCTTACTGGGACGTTCCTTGCTGACCCCCCCCCCCCCCCTCCCCCTTCCTCCTGGTTTTCTTCCTTGCCCCGCTCGCCACCTTTCCTCCCTTCTCTTCCCCCGGCCCTATTATGCAACGCAATGTTAACCACAGTCCGAAGCCCCCCCCCCTCCCCTCAGCTCCCAACACGCACGACCATAAGCCCCCCAGTGTGTTAGAGCACTGGAGGGTGTGATTTGTCAACAGCAGGCACTGGCGGCCCCGACCGGCGTTCACGTCTCCCGCTGTGTCGGGTCCCCGACCTACCCCTCGCCTAGGACGCGTTGACCGCGGCCAAAGCTTCGAGGGGGGGGGAGGGGGGGGGGCTCCGCGTTGATTTTTACACGAGCCCGTTAAGGTCGTCGGTCGGCTATGCCGCACGAATTCTGCAATATCAGCGCCCGGGCACTCGAAATGAACGCTAAAAATTGTGAAGAAGGCGTCGAATTTGATTGTCCAAGAAAAGTGTCGCATACTATTATTGCATTGAACGTAGCCTAACGGTTTATATTATAAATGCACTAAATTATTGTGCGACAAGGCAGTATTCCTTTTTACGGTTATACCACTGATGCGAACCGTGGGCGACCACTTCCTTCACCTTAACCTTTTGGTACTTCTTGTATCTTGGGGGTATATCACTCGAAACAAAGCAACCGCCAGAAAAGTGCCTAGGCGGAAGGATCGATAAGTTAACAAAGTCCAAGCTGCAGTGTACTACACAAAAACGCAGTAACATATTAGCTGTGTTGCTCGGTGCAACCTTTCGCTGGAGTAAAGAGAGGTTGCATTTAGTCAATAACACACGAGGGAGGGAGGGAGAGAGAGAGAGAGAGAGAGAGAGAGAGAGAGAGAGAGAGAGAGAGAGAGAGAAACTTGTGTCGCCTCGTGACGAGGGGCGCTCCGTACGGTCACAACCCCCTGCTTGCTCACCTCGAAGTGTGGTAATCCCTCTAATGATCCTTGTGCGGGCGCTGCATCTTGTCACTTTCACACTGTCACCCACTGTACACAGTCGCACTCTCTCGCACTCAGTCTGGCACTCACGCCGCGCACGTGCCGCGCACGCTCACTCCACAAACACACGCGCCGCGGTCCGCACTCGCTCAGTTGTCTCGGGGAACTGGCCGGACCGGGGCGGGGCAGGGCCCGGCGCGCGGCCGCCTCCAGCCAGCCGGGGCGCCCGCCCCCACCTCTCCCTTCTCCTTCCTTCTCCGCCCCAACCCAACCCACCCCCCTTCTATTCCCGCCAAGACTGTCCATCCCTCCCTCCCCCTCCCGTCGCCCGTCCGCCCTTCTTCTTCGTGGTGGTCGCCTTTTGATCTTTGGGACCGTGGAGAGAACCCATGATGAAGGTAAATAGCGTCAGCCTTACATGGGGCGATAATCCTCTTCCGGTTTAGCAGAGCCTCTTTGGAATCCTCACAGAGCAAGGCGGCTGAGGGTCCTGGGCTGGACGCTGCGTCGTGTTGTGCGCGATGCGCTGTCTGTACACACCATTGTTTCCTGTTTGTTTGGAATGTTTGTTCTCCCCTCTTTCCACGCTCGTCTGGTCGGGCCGGGGGTGGCGAGACCGGGACACTATGGTCATGACCAGTACCCTGAGTAACTGGGTACCTACGCTGATGGTGTCGAGCAGCTGTCACCCACTGCTTATCAGAGACACGTTCTGGTCCACGCTGCGCTATAATCTTATATCACATACCTGGGGTGCTAGAGATGAACGATGGCTTGACACGATGCGGTATGTGGAAACAAAAAGGTGGCCAGTAGGTGGCTGACTTTGGTCGCCTGAATTCCTGCAGGTCAGGTGACATCAGTCGTCCTGCTGCTAGTTTGGTCGACACCCCCAGAGTTACAGTGTACGGCTGTGGGGAATGCCGGCCCACGGCGTTGCTTTGTCCTTTTAGGTACGGCGGAAGGTCCACCACGAAGAACGAGCGGCCCGGTAACGAGCCGCCATACAGATTCTATTTCTTTCTCTATTTTCTCTATTTATCTTTTCTTCCCTTCCATGTCGCCTCACAAACCAGCAGGTCTCGACAGATCATGCCCCTACATTTTTCTAGAGCTCCCTCTCTCCGCCGGCAGACGTAGTGAAAATAGTGAAGCAAAGTGAAGGGCACAGCATCAATCGCACGGCCAAAAAATAAGAAGGGAAAAGAATTCAAAATGAGGGAATTCGTTTTAGTTTTTAGTGTTTGTAGTGGCTGATTTGACGTGAAATTCTCTGACATGTTGACGTACTGAATTTGTTGTGGTTCAGCTGGCCACCCTGTTGGCCGTGGGAGTAACCGGATTATTTCGCCCTAGTGGAAGTTTAGCCGGGCTTTTTTACAAGCACTCACTCGTGAAGACATTGATATAAGTGTACCTTTCCTGTGTTCAATCAAAAGGGTGGAGTTTTGTTTACCTTTTTGAGTTATACTTTCGTTTTGGCTTAATTTTGGGTAAGCAGAGAGAGAGGGAGAGAGAAATGGCAAATTGCTTCCACCTCAATTTTGTCAATTCCAACGCGTTCGAGACAACGGTGCACTGCGGATTAATCTGTCAGTGCTGTGTTGTGGTTGGCCGAGGTGCGAGATCGGGAAACCACAGGGCAAAGTACGGGGCGAGTGTATGGTGCTGCGGGTGCTGCTGACCCAAGGCAGTCTGTGTGAAGGAGGCGGGTAGAAAGTCTTCATCAGATGACTGCGGTTGTAGTGGACTGTCCGCTGCGAGCTCAAACTGGTGCTGGTGACCTTCGCTGGCAGACGCAGGTGCTACTGCTGGTTTAGCAACGAGACACCAAGACACTCTGAAAACTCGACAGTATACACATGCTGCTATATAGTGATAGGCAATCATTAATGATGTATCGGTGCACATGACATGTACACTTTGCAGTTATCACGTTTACGTTTATGCATTTTAGACAGTCGTGCACACATTAGTGTAATCGCGTCTCCCTCCCGACACTTAAAATGAAATTGCAACCAGATTCGAGTGGTGATGAAAAGGAAAAGGAATATTTCAGAGCACGAAGAATTCTCTGAAATTACGAACTGGTTGCACTTTATTAGTGCTGGAAAGAGAAGGGGAGGTGGATGGGGGATGGAGAGAGTCTTTTGATATTCCATAGCGCGAAAGGGATAGCGGAGCGCGCACCTCGTCTCTCTCGCACTCTCACTCCACTTGACTGTCTCACTCAGGCCCTTTGTTGTGTATGTATGAGTGTCTGACCGGGCTGCGCTCGCGCCGCTCTTGCTGGTGACCTTTTCCCTCGGGAAGCTTCCGACTTGGTATCCGCAGGTCCTCGACGCTTGTCGACGCCGACTCTGTAGCAGTCGAAGGTTTTTCAGTTATCTTTACATCCCTCAAGTCCCCCCATTATTACTTCTTATTATTTGAAGAACGCACTGTTCAGATTTCAGTTTTGTTTAAAAATTCCGGTATTAGAAATCCAAAGTGCACAGTGATGTGCTAGCGTGCCTACATGCGTCCACTTTGACAAAGTACATGGCAACCATGGCACACTCCGCAAGTTTGCAAAAAGCTCTATTGGAAAGTTCTAAATAAAACTTGCCACAGATCCCGCAAAATAAGCTTCATGCATCCTGTGCCGCAATGTGCCCTCACTTTTACCTGAATTTGTGCTTATTTTTTTTTTTTACGAACTGAAATAGGGCCTAAACGTGGCGTCATCGTGTCTGTCGCTGTGCTGTAACGTCTCTCTGATGAACGTTGTTGTGCGGTCCAATAGGAGTGACCTCAGCGGGTCGCGAAGTGACAATGAAGACGCGTCCTCGCGAGGCGTCGCGGCTCCTCGTTGCGCGGTGTGCGGTAATCGCGCGTGCGTCTCCCTCCCCCCTCCCCCTCCTCCTTTTCCTCTGGTCCGTTCGTTCGGTCTCTTTCCTCCTCTGTCCCCATTTCTTCTCCATCTTCTCCTCTAGCAAAACCCCTCGATTCCCTGCGTTATAGCGTCCCCGCTATCTCCTCCTCCCACCCGCCGCATGCACGTGTGCGAGCCTCACACGCATGGAGGAAATTACCGGCGCCGACCCCTTTCAGTCGGGCCCGCAGAATTCCCACAGGGCGTGGTACAGGTTGAAAAATCTCTACGACTGGTATGTATTTCAGATATCCGTAATCCGTAATCTACCAACAGAAACGCATCCGAGCTTGCTATTTCACCGTTTGAAAACCGAGGGTGGGCCGACTCGAAAAAAATCGTGTGCACAGAAATACAAAGAATATGAACAAAAATGCTCCAAAATCAAGAAAAACGTAAGCAATACCGCCACCCCCCTTTCAAACAACGTCACGTTATGAGGGACAAAATGTCAATTGATTGCATCGTTCCTTTGTGAATGCCAGAAATTTGCGGGCGCAAATATTGCGGGGTACAAAGAGCAAAAATGCCTCTTCATTACACGCACGACTGGACAAAGTTTGCGGTGACTATAAACCATAAACTCAATTTGGATATCGTGTACAAAATTAATCCTCGCCTAGTAGTTATCCCGGCAGTGAAAGGGGTGCGCTGACGTGACTGACCAGCTGACGTGTGCGGTCTAGGAGTGATTGGGTTGAGGGGGGGGGGGGGGGCAACATGTTTTGCCAGTAAGGATCCCAGCCTGGGCCCGAAGGGGACTGAGGTGCACCGTCGAGGGGGGAGGGGGGCGGGCTGATCAGGGCACCACGCCACGCTGCATGGCGGCCGCTTTCAAACCGAGTGCCCAGCATAGCAAGGCGCCACGGCCAAGGCTCGGCGGCACGACGCCCAGAGAGAAACCCGCACGTGAGCAGAAAGGTTAGGGATGGCAAGGGTGGCGCACGGGGTTAGGTAAGGAGTCGGGTAACGGTGTGGGCGAGGGTCCGCCCCCGCTGCAGTGTAGGTTACGCGAAGTAAAGTATCTTGCACCTGGTTCAAGAATCTCACGGGACCTTGCTGCTGTAAAAAAAGAGGCTGACGGGAAAATTTTCCATAATCAGTGTCGGAAAGTCACAAGTTTGAAATAGTATTCGTATATCGCCTTGGAACTGATCAACAAGCAAGAATGGGCTGTCCAAATTTAATACATGCTTTGCAATTCATTACGACAAACGTTGTAAATTTACGAGGACATTTTTCGCAAGGGTGGATTTGACTGCTTCAGCTAGCTTGTGAATGCAAAAACTTGGTCATTTACAGACAGCTTCCTTTAAAAGAACGCCATGATTTTGCCAATTTTTTTTTGGCCAGAGCGTTCGCATTGCAATGCCAGTGCCTGCCAACGGGCTGGCCCGGTCGGTATGGCCGATGACCGCTATGGAACCTCCCCCCGGCTGCGCCAACATGGCCCTCTGCTCTCTACCGCTGCGGTCGGCCGGGGGGCAGGCGGAGCAGGCGGGGCAGGTGGGGCAGGTGGGGCAGGCGAGGCAGAGACGGTGTGGTGGACGGGGTACGGGATCAGGCCTCGCTGCCGGGTCCCCGCACTTCGTGATCCTCTCATTACGCTCTGTTACTGTTCTCGTATACTTTTCTCCGCGTAAATGAGCGAGCCGGCCGTCGGTCGCGCGCTCCGCGCCCCGCCCTGCCCCACCTCACCTCACTCCACCTCACCCCGCCCCGCCCCGCCGGCCAGAAAGGCTTCCGGTGCGCCGGCGGCGGCTGCAGGCGCGCGGCCCGTGCCGGGCGCCACGTCATCCTCGCGACGCGCCGCCGCCGGCGCAGGGAGGCTGTTGGTCCAGCCGGGAGCTGAACCCCCCGGGCGTGCTTTGGTAGCCACGCCACGCCAGCGGACAAGCAATGGGCGTGCGGCTGGCGGGCGGGGAAAAAAATGTTGGCAAGTGATGCGGTGGTTGTGACGTGGAACTGATGGCGCTTCCCTGAGAAAGGTGGGAAAGTTATATACATGAATGGTGGCTGCTGCTGCTGGCTGCCTGCTGATGCGAGGGTCTGGAGCGAAGTGAACCATCATCGGCCACCACCATCAGAGCTCACCACACTCACCCCTCTCTCTTGCGGCTCCACAGTTTCCGTCTATCGGCGCGCTGACCGAGTCGGTGCATCTCCGTGAGGGGGGGGGGG